CTCTCGTCAAAAGTGGCCCATTGTACCACAGCTGAATTACAGATAAATAAAATGGGGCACTTGGTAAAAATGGCGGGGGGAGTCGAAGTAGTCAACGTATACCCACCCCAACATCACTGTATCCACCACAAAATCCACATTAATTTAAATTTTTTAATTCGCTTAGTTTGGGGTGGAGTCCAACTGGGTCCACTCGGCACGGTGGCCACTGATTGGCCTATTGTAGGCTGCCCCTGGTTATTATGATGATGCAGAATTTGGTGGAATGAAGATTCACAGGGGAAACCGAAGTACTCGGAGAAAACCCGCCCCAGCGCCACTTTATCCACCACAAATTCCACTTGACCAGACCCGGGATCGAACCCGGGCCGCAGCGATGGGAAGCCAGCGACTAATCGCTTGAGCTATGGAGCGGCCTATGCCAGCACTTCACTTGCAGACAATCAAACTCAAGAAGGAATAAAATTCAAATATCGCTCCTATAAGAGGTAAATAAAGGTAAAGCTAGATATCCACCTCATTGGGACTCGAACCCCTAGACCTTCCGGTTTGTAGCATAGTGCCTCAACCAACTACGCTACCCCGTGCCCCTCATCAGCTCTATGAGTAGGTAAGTAAGGATATGTTTATAATTATTCTATTCAAACCTCTTTCCATGGCAAAACACCAAAAGCAAAGTACTCCCAGCAAACGACAGAAACTACAAGAATTCAGAAACAGGGTGTTTCAGGAGTACTTGCCTCGGAATAGTGCGAAATATACAGGTAATCCAGTACTGCTGTGCAAGAAGTTTGCTATATTTGTCGGATATGTAGCTTGGTGGGAGCGAATCCCACGAAGAACTTCGGTATGTAGCCCTTTGGAAAAGGAACACTTTCAAATCAAAGAAGCGGATGGGCGAATGGAGAGATTAGTTACGAGAATGAGTGGCGGATGAACTGGTTAGTGATCGAAGCTATGCAGCTTCTATAATAAGATAATTAATGTATGTAGAGGAGTCGGTGGGTTGATTGGTAGGGGAAACCGAAGTACTCGGACAAGAACCCGACTCAGTGCTATTTTGTTCGCCACAAATCCCACATGACCTGACCTGGGAAAGAATTCCACCAGCCCTGGCGAGAAACCGGCAACTGTCTGTACAACTTCTGTCTCATCCAGAATCACGTATATTCTATGGCAGATGAAACAGTACAGTTACAGCTATTCTAAGACAAAGGAATCATGTCACGTTTTAAATTACAAAACCTCTACAGCTAACACACGTATCCTAGCAATATTTTAGTGTCTACTTTTAACGGCTTCGTAAACAAGAGCTCATCCCACCATACGAGTCACGGACAGCGTCTTCTACTCAGACTGTACCTCACCTCACAGACGAATACACGGATAAGTAAAATGGGGCAAGTTTTCTAACTGTCCAAGCGGCCTCATCCGTCATTCACAATGTTACATGACTGTCATTTCGAGTCGATATATATAGTTAAACAACAAAGCGATATGTCATAGAAATAACACGACAGAACAATAACGGCAAAAACATGCAGCGAACCAAATCAGAATAATAATAAAATTAATACATAAATTATAATAATAATAATAATAACTAATATAGGCCTTAGACTTGATATTATTCAACAAAAACAAAATTTTAATAATAATAACACGCTATAGTTACATAACATAGTTACATAACAATAATCCCGACAGTAGACAGTTTAGATAACTAAAGCGTCGTTAAACAGCCTGGGGCTTGGGGGGGGGATATAACGACAGTCGCCATTATACAATCTGATCGCTCTGATATATTGGTGAGTTACGTGGCTGGTGAAACTGAACCTAATACCACATTAGTTTTCTCTTTTTACTGAGAATGGACGACGGAAAGGTCTTGAACTGTATATTGGTTGAAGAATTCCGTCTTCTGGTATGTGACGCCGTGTAGGTTTTGTGTGAACCGACGTTTCGGAGGAAATTATCGCCTCCATCTTCAGGGCGGAAAGCTCCTCGAGTGAGGAACCAGCATTAGCTAACGCTAGTTTCTCTCTCGAATTTTTCTACCCTGAAGATGGAAGCGATACGTCTTCTGAAACGTCGGTTCACACAAGATCTACACAACGCCACATTCTAGAAGAAGGCATTCTTCATAGTCACCGTTGTGAGAATCTCAAATTTTATACATATTTTTTTTTTAATTCGCTTAGTGGGGAGTGGAGTCCAGTTGAGTCCACTCAGCACGGCGCCCACTGATTGGCCTATTGTACCTGCCCCGGGTAATTATGATGATGGCGAATTTGGTGGAATGAAGACTGGTAGGAGAAACCTAAGTACTCGGAGAAAACCTAACCCAGAGCAACTTTGTCCACCACAAGTCCCATTTGACCATGCCCGGGTTTGAACCCGTGCCGCAGCGGCGGGAAGCCAGGGACTAACCGCTTGAGTGTGGGTCTCATTTTACGACCGACGGTCAGTCGCCCTCTGACGAGAGGACGGGTTTTGAACCATTTGAGCTATGGCGCGGCCCATTATATACATATTAGTTCTTTTCACACTTGGGGGGGGGGGTTTAGACTAAGCACATTCGTACTTTCGCCAGAAGTGGCCCATTGTACCACCGCTGAACTACAGATGAATAAAATGGCGCGCTTGGTAGAAATGGCGGGAGGAGTCGAAGTAGTCAACGTATATCCACCTCAACATCACTGTATCCACCACAAAACCCACATTAACTAACCTGGGATTGAACCTTGGTCACCGTGGTGAGCAGCTGCTAACTACCTCTCTGTGCTATAGCAGTGCCTATTATATTCGTTAATATCTGTTGTAGCGAAGGTTTGAGGACATTCTAACCAAAAAGAAAACAATCTGCAACCACCACGTTGTTTCACTCAGAAGGCCCATTTGAATCGAACATGCGCACAATGACATCACTGGTTAAGTGGGAACTTCACATGAGTATTCTACGTTAGAAAGACAACAGTATCATTCCAATTTTCTCTTCAGTATCAGTATTAACAAACTGAAAAATACGCGTTTTACTTACCTAGATGAAGCCCCGGCCACTTGGCGTTACTGCTGTTTCTTAAGTCACAAATAAACACTCTTACATAACACTCACGCACTCGCCTTCAATTATATATATTTATTGATGTAAACACAACACATAAACTGACACTATATCAATATCAAGCCTTTAATTCACGAACTTAAACTAACTGAACACAGCACGCGTCTTCGAACAACGTCTAGCACTGAAAGTCTGAGACACCAAATGACAACCCATCCCCTCCCTCAAGTACTCAGTCGTATATGGCGAGACAGCAAGGTGGGGAAGTGACACGTGTCAACTGGTCAAGACTGATGTAAATTCCCTCCCTGCAGCTTACCCCCTAACCTCAAGGTCGACTGAATATCAACTCGTCATTCGATGCTTGCAATCTATCTATCCCCCTCGCAACATGTAACATGAAAGAATCGTGACGATAAGTCTTCCGTCCGTCCGCATTAAATAATCCGAGAGCCAGCGAACGTATTGTCCTGGAATTTGGTATTGGGAAGTTTTATAAATATTTCTCGGCACATCCAGACTTTGGTTAAAATGAGATAAAAATGGCGAACGCTTTACATGATGACCTACAAGCTTAACCCAATGAATGTTCACCCCAGCGAAAAAAAAAATCTAACGAAATTGTAGATAAAAATTAAACGTTTTGCAGTCCAATTTGTTTTCTTAAGTACTGGGGTCTGGAGATAGTTAAACAAAGTGAACGAAAGCGCCAGAATTTTTCGCCATACAACCATTTTGCGTGTAATATAAATAAAGTGTAGGGAATGAAACTTGGTCTCTGACATTTAGGGAGGAACATACACTGAAGACTGAGGGTGCTTGAGAACAGGGTATTGAGGAGAATATTTGGACTGAAGAGAGATGAAGTGACAGGAGATTGGAGAAAACTGCATAATGAGGAGCTTCATAACTTGTTCTCTTCTCAAAGTATAATTAGAATGATCAAGTCAACGAGGATAAGATGAGCAGGGCCTGTAGCACGAATTGGGAAGAAGATTGATGTATATAGGATATTGGTGGAAATCCAGACGGAAAGAGACCACTGGGAAGACCAAGACGTAGGTGGGTTGATAATATTAAAATTGTAAGATTTGAGGTTTTCACGGCGGTGACTATGAAGAAATGAGTCTTCTGGGATGTGGCACCGTGTAGATGTGGTGTTAACCGACGTTTTGGAGGAACGTATCGCCTCCATCTTCAGGGTAGAAGGAAAAATAAAATCCGCAAGCGAAGAGACCGTGAGAACCGGTACAAGCAGACCTTCTACCCTGAAGATGGAGGCGATACGTTCCTCCGAAACGTCGGTTAACACCACATCTTCACGGTGCCACATCCCAGAAGACTGCTTTCTTAATATTAAAATTAATCTTAGAGTGATAGGATGGGATGGTGTAATTGGCTTGATCTGGCTCAGGATGGGGACCAGTGGCGTGATCTTATGAACACGTTAATAAACTTTGGGGTTGCATAAAATGCTGGGAAGTTTTTGAGTAGCTGCATAATTGGCAGCTTCTCAAGAAGGGCTCAGTTCCATGAGTGAGCGAGTGAGTAACTGAGGATGAGTCAGTGACTTCATTAGAAGTCGTGTCTGAGTGTATGAGCCATCTCAAAAGTTACAGAATGTATTTAAATTAAACTTTACATTAGGTGTCAGGGATTTTGTCAGTCGGAGAGTCAGTCAGTCAGTCAGCCATGTGTTCAGTCAGTCAACGGGTGGGTCAGTTATGGAATGAGTCAGTCATGGAGTGATTTGGTCAAGGGGTCAGTGATGTATTCAATCAGTCAGGGACTTGTTCAATCAGAGAAGGAGTCCTTTTGGGAGCGAGGGAAGGCCGTGCCATAGTTCAATCGGTTAGTCGCTGACTTCCCATCTCAGCGGTCGGATTTCGAGCACAGGTCAGGTCATGTGGGATTTATGATGGACAAAGTGACGCTGAGGTAGTTTTTCTGCTAGTACTTCTGTTTACCCTGTCAATCTTCATTCCATCAATTGCTCCACAATCATCGTTTATGATGTGGGGCTGGTGCAGTAGGCCAATAGTGGCCACAGTATCAAGTTGACTCAGTCAAATGAGGAAAGCAGTCTGGAAGAGAGTCAGGGAATGAGGAAGTCAGTCAGGCAGGACTCCTTTCAGTCAGCTGGAGAGCAAGGGAGTGAGTCAGGCTCTCTGTAAGCCTGAGAACGAGAGAGCCCATCGCTAGAGCATCGCCAATGTGTACAAGAGCTCCTTTTGCCAGCACTTGACCCGTTTTGTTGTCTCCAGAGGAGATGCTTCGCCTGAATGTGAAGCCGGAGGAGTACCTTGACAAGCTGGTGGAGTACTGCAACATGAAGATCTACGCTATAGCCACTGTTGTGGACACGAACGAAACGTGGGGCGAGGAGGACGACTTCCAGATCCTGAAACCAAACCTCGACATAAAGGTGAGTGCGTGCTACTTTTTCACCTAACCTAAAACCTCTGGTTAAGATTCAAATATACAAAAATTAATTTTTATCCTGCTTTCCTTCTTTTAAAATAAAATTAAACTAGGCTTATGAGATCATCTTTCTGTCTGTGTCTGCTTCTCACGAAGGATTCACCTACACTTTCTTAGCCTTAAGTCACCTATGTCCGAAAATCTTAAGTAAGGAGCGTTAACTAAGACATATCTCTGGCAGTGAGAAAGATGGAGCCAATCTTTGTCATAGGTAGCTGAAAACCCCGTGGTGGGTAAGCCGTGCGCTGTGAAATTCAGCTTCAAGAATCCGCTCAAGAAAGTCTTGACGGGTTGCCTATTCCAGTACGCAGGCCCAGGGCTCGCAAGAAACACTTCGATACCTTACAGGTAGGTCACGACATGGTCACAGACCCACTGAAGCGACTTCTTGATCAGTTTAGTAACTAAGATATACTGACTGCAGGAAGACTCTGTAAGATTAATCACTTAAGTTTGAGAGATTAGGAGGGGTCGGGATGGTGTAGTTGGTATAGCAACTGACTACGGACTGGACGACTGTCGGAGTTCGAGTCCCGGTAGGGTCAAGAATGTTCTTTTCTCCAAGTCTTCCAGATCGATTGTGGGGTCCACCCAGCCTCCTAACCAATGGGTACCGGGAGCTTTTCCCCGAGGGTAAATCGGCAGGGGCGTGAAGCTAACCACTCACCTCCAACTAGTGGCGAGCTCAAGAAAACCTGGATCTAATGATCCACTCCCCCATACGCCTTCATGGCGTTAAGCACAGGGACAACTCTACCTTTACCTTACCTCGAGAGATCAGAGGTTGACACGGAGGTGGATATTAGGGTTAGAGCCTTCTGGGATATAATGATGTATAGTTCATTAAATAGCTTCCAACTTCCATACAAATGGTTCGGGCAGCAGATTAATCAGCCAGTTAGTTACTCAGTCAATCAGCTAGTGAGTTTTGAGGCTTTCACGGCGGTGACTATGAAGAAAGCAGTCTTCTGCTTTACCGTGTCTCACGGTGTTGTCGCTTGCAGATTTACCTATACTTTTTCTTCAACCCTGAAGATGGGGGCGATACGTTCCTCCGAAACGTCGGTTAACACCACATATACACGGCGCCAAATCCCAGAAGACTGCTTTCTTCAGCTAGTGAGTTATTTAGACTGTCACTCACTTAACGGAGCAGTTATTTCCTTAGTTAATTCCATTACTAGTTAACTGGCGAACCTATATCGTAGTGAGTTTGTTAAGGAGCCAATTAGTTAGCAGGTTAATCAATCAGTTAATGAAGAAAGTCGACTTCTGGGATGTGATACTGTGTAGATCTTGTGTGAACCGACGTTTCGGAGGAACCTATCGCCTCCATCTTCAGAGTACAAAAATCCGAGAGGGAGGAACCAGCGTGGGCAGGTCTGCACCTGCTCACGCTGGTTCCTCGCTCGCGGATTTTTCTACCATAAAGATGGAAGCGATACGTTCCTCCGAAACGTCGGTTCACACAAGATCTACACAACGCCACACCCCAGAAGACGGCATTCTTCACAGACACAGCTGTGAAAACCTCAAAGCTTACCATCAGTTAGTGGTCCGTTATTTATGTAATTAGTCAGATAACTGGACAGTTAATGGTCAGTTAAACCATTTATTGGTTAAGTAGCACATCAGTTAATTGCTGGTTTGTCATGTACTCAATCAGTTAGTTGTTATTCAGTTATCAGATTAGTTGCATGACTGTTTAGTCTGTTATTTAGTGTGTTAATCATTCAATAGATTAGTCAGTTAATTAACTAATTGATGTTAGCCACTCAGGTAGTCAGATGGGACAATTCTACTAAATTTCGTGAACTACCCTATTTCCATAAGGGTGCGATCTATGGATAAATATTAAAACTATTTATAATTTAATTGTTAATTTGAAGTGTCGTGCCATGAAATGAGGTAACTCACAAAACTGACAAAATTTACTTCATATCTCGCACCTAATAACGTCACACACGTAAAGTATAAAGCATAACATATATTTTTTACTCAGGTCAGATATCTGAAACTCCAAGGAGTCCCGATGAATGTCTGTAGGTATATCCTTTTCGGAAGTAACAGCTTTGGCGTCTGCTATTTAGGAATGTCCAGCCAGAGGAAGACGTGAAGGTTGAACACGGTTTCACGCCTCAGAGAGCTGGCAGACAGAAATTGGTGGGCACATTCTCGTCAAAGGAGCTGGTAGACATCACGGGATCAGCTGAGATCGAAGTGTTCGAAGATGAAGAATAGCTCAAGCTATCACACAGTCAAACAACGTCCACACTTTTTGACAGAGTTCTAATTGTCAATTTAATGCTTTTATAAGCTCTGTCGGTAGGCTTTCAGCATTGTAAATTTTCCCGTAAAGTTCCACAATAGGAAGCTTTCTGCCATCACACTTACGAAACTACCCTCAAATTATGATGACGTAATTAGTGTTACATCCTTGCTCTTTACCTTCGTAGACAATCTCTTCTAGTAGTTCTCTTATCGGAACAATAGATGGCAGAAGTTACTACTCGTATGTCTTACCACACAAAAGTAACTTTTCTTTTATTTTCACGAGATTTAATCCATAGCTGACAGGAGTGAGGTTGGAAATAAAAAAAGATTTTTGTTGTGTTGTATTTTACTGTATTGTGTTGTGTTGTGTTGTGTTGTATTGTATTGACATGAGAATGGAACAACTTTCAGACGCCCCAAGTATCAGACCACTGTTGGTCCATTGTCCACCCCACAATGTTCTTTCTGGATCTTTAAGAGACTTGAGAGACAAACACTACAGAAAAATAGAAAGGGAAATGGTTAATATGATTTTACATTTTGGAAACAGATTACTTATCTGAATATACTGTGGCCCCCTCGAATATAATATTCAACAATATTCCGAAAGATAAAAAAAAATTTCTTCAGAACAATGTCCACAAAATTTATTTCAAATCCAGTTATTTGTTTATATCTATTATTATTCTGAAGGTGGCGTGAAACTGAGTCCCTTGTTATTGAGACGTTAACTGTTCACTTTACCAGTCCCAGATAACAGATTAGATAAATGGAGCATTTGATGGAATTAGAGCCACAGGGAAAACAAGAGAGAAATCTTGTCCAAGTGCTAATTCGTCTACCACAAATACCAAATTAACTAACCTGGGACTGACCCCGAGTCACAGCCGCAGTTAGAAATCATGACATTTCCTCATGTTAAACCATTAATATTTATTTATTTTTCAATGCATAACAAAACGTTGTTTGTCTGAAGATTGTCAGTTCGGAGAGCACTATATATCGTGTCAACTCCGGTTCTCCCCCCCCCCAACATTCAATATAACGGACCCTGAAAGAAGCGCAGTCAAAACACATCATGTTGCCTTGAGTACTGTTAATAAATTATAGGATAATTACTGTGGAGAAGTAGATAACCTTTGACACGTGCCGAGTTTTTCTTTACGCTGCAACATCTTCCTCTGTTGACTCGTTTCCATAGTAACCAGTGATACGCAAACAGTTTAAAAATTAGAAACTAAAGAACCTATTATTTCATTCGTGGACCATATAAAAAACTAATGACATTAAGTGCAAACACGACACATGTTTCCAAACGATGTTTCTCGTTCATAACACGGAATGGGTTAACAACAATTAAAATGAAGGCCTATATTTTGATCTCCACGCGCTTCTTTGCTGCTTAATTCAGATTATCAGCAAGCCTAGAATACAGTTTCACCAACACAATTAGACCCAGAAGAGGTTTTGTTTTATTTTGTATAATTTTCTGAATGAATTTGTTTTTAATGTAGATAGAAAGCTGTAGTATCAACTCACTACTGGAAGTCTCACATATTGTATCAGTACCTGGTAAGAAATTCTAATAGCATATCAAGAATGGCTCTTTACCATGGAATTAATAAGTCTCTTAGTTGATTAGTCAATTAGTTAATTGGTTAGTATATAGATTTTCTTACATGTTCCATTTTGTCTTCCTTTCTGTTTATATATATATATATATCCGTTATTATGAAATAACCTTAACACTCCTCCACGAATTCTTATATATCTTAGTTCCAGACTCGCGTGTATTTTTACATCAATCTATAACTACTAGTCTCAATAAATAGTCGCTAGTACTATATAGCTGTACACTGTTCTTTTGTTTAAATTTATATTGTTTTACTCCCAGGATTCTCAGTGTAATGCATGTAGTATGTATAATCAGATATGCCTAAAATATGCATTCAGTAATTATATTCACTTCCTTTATAGGCTATTATACAGAATGTTCAAGGACACCAAGAGGAGGGTGGCAAGCAAGGAAGCGCCCCCTCCCCATGGAGCTCTGAGAAATAAAACTCAAAATTGAAAAGAAAGAAATATTCCAGATGTTAATAACAAGATTTGAAGTAGTTTATAAAAATGTTTTTCTACGTTACAAATGTTAATAGATCAATGGAAATATTAGCAATGCCTAAAACATAATTTCATAAAATATTTTTACGGTTGGCCGTAGAAAACATGGCTAGTCTCCCAGGAACCATACTGGCCCCTTACATGAGAACATGAACTATTAAATGAGTTATGAAAAGACTAGTGTTTAATAAGAACTAAAAATAAAGTTCTAACATTAGCTGTTTTCTGTCTAATTTATTTTCCCCTGTTTCTAGCCTCTAATCCACGATTTTGTATGTATTGACCGTCTTCTAGTGCATNCTAATGATTATAGGCTAATGTTGTATTTTAGCGTCCTGTTGCACTGATTCGCGTCCATGATGTTGTATGTATTGACCGTCTTGTAGTGCACACAAGCTCACTTGTCACTTCACTACATGTTTCGGCATCACTGTGCCATCCTCAGGTACATGACGAATATACATTTTAAATCATTTTATAAACGACACATGATGGCGAGCAGTGCAATAGTTTAACGTAAATAACACACCTGAGGATGGCACAGTGATGCCGAAACATGTAGTGAAGTGACAAGTGAGCTTGTGTGCACTACAAGACGGTCAATACATACAACATCATGGACGCGAATCAGTGCAACAGGACGCTAAAATACAACATTAGCCTATAATCATTAGAATTAGAATTATAATTTGCTTATTACTCCTGCCATCCGTTAGAACAGAAGCAGCAGAACACGAGAAGAATATTTGGACGTAAGAGGGAACAAGAAGCTGATGGATGTGGAAGAGAGATATTTCTTGTGAGCATGTTGGTAGCGGCAATGCTACAAAATTACATTCAGGGGCTGCCAGTTACCAACTGTCCTAACTGACTGTGTGAAAGAGGAAGAGATAAAGATGGATGGACGGACGGGGACGGAGATGAATGGGCGGACCTTGGAAGGGCAGACAGCGGACAGATAGCAGATAAACGATGAAGAGTTGGATGGATGCACAGAAAGGAAAGAAATAAGTAAAGAAGGAGCGATTGGAGAAAATAAAGCTAGCATGCAAGAATGGACGGACGTAAATGCTATAAAATTTCTTGAATATTTCTTCGATAAAAATCCCCACGTTGAGTCGGATGAAAGCATGTAACACTGTACCAGCTTCTGACCGGGGCTATTCCTCTGCAGTACAAAGAGGCCTTCTGAAAATTCTAAACTTTGAAAACATCAAACCGAAGACCATTTGACGATTTTTAGAGCTTCCAACAATGTGTAGTTGAAAACTCTACTTTCTCTAACATGGATATGGCTTCATTGTGTTTGATTTCAGTAAGAAGCGCACTCTTCCATAGTATAATGCGACAATTCTTCAAGATCATTGCCCTCAAGAAAATTCTTGTAACTCGGCTCGCCCGGTGCCACGTAATGAAGACTCCTCCAGGAGAGACAGAGCACCGCCCTCGAACCATAAGCAGACAACTCTTGGCAACAGTTGATCCTGTGGAGGCTTACTCCGTGAACTGTGTGAAAAAGAAAAGTGAACCCAAAACTGCAGATTCAGCTGAAGAGTTTCTTCATAGTCTCGTGTCCCACGTAAACATCATGATCAGGAAGCAAAGAATAAAATCTAAGATCGACGTTTTGCAGTTGATTGATGGCATGTGCGATTCACCAGAAGATGGATCTCCTGCGGCTTCTTCCTCACTATTACCGTATTTACCAATTTTTCAGACATTGCGTATGCAGTGCGCTACTGCACCACTTACTCTGCCTCAGTCTTTAATTTCTCTATCTACGTATTTTTATTTAAAAGAGCTTCATAACTTGTACACTTCTCCAAGTATAGTTAGAATGATCAAGTCAAGGAGTATGAAATGAGCAGGGCATGTAGCACGAATGGGATAGAGGAGGAATGCATATGGGATATTGGTGGGAAATCGGAAGGAAGGAGAGCACTAGGAAGACCAAGGCGTAGGTGGGTGGACAATATTAAAACGGAAATTAGATAGAATGGGATGGTATGGATTGGATTGATCTGGCTCAGAATAGGGACCATTGGAAAGCTCTTGTGAACGTGGTAATGAGCCTTCGGGTTTCATAAAAAGTTGGGAAATTATTGTATTTACAAGAGTAAATATTTTGTACCTGAGTGCTATCAGGTTTCTTTTTTCAACTGGCATAAGCTCGCGAAAATTTATATCATCAGTTTCTTTTTTTATTGCTAGTGGGGTGGGACTAAGTCCTTTGTACTGCGGCCACTTCTGGCCTATTGTACCAGCCCCAGATGATAGGTGAGGGTGATTGTGGAGCAATTGGTGGAATGAAGATTGGCAGGGGAAACAGAAGTACTCGGAGAAAACCTGCCCCAGCGCCACTTTGTCCATCACAAATCCCACTTGACCGGACCCGGGATCGAACCCGGGCCGCCGCCGTGGATAGCCAGCGACTAACCGCTAGAGCTATGGCGCGGCCATCTTCAGCCTTAACGAAATGCCCCTCTAGATCAACTAGTAAAGAAGAACTTGTTAAGTTCAACTTACAGGCTTGCATTTTCATTGAGCTTCTTCGAAACAATATAATCACTACCCTGGAGTAGGTTTTCAACATGAACAAAGTAAATCCAGTGCCTTCTCCATTGTGCATTCTTCCTCCTTCTCCTAAACAATTACCTGGTAACTACTGGGTAAACACTGACTGGTGTATCGGAAGAGAAAGGTCCTAAATACATCATGTAGGCTCTTTCTTACGTAAGCCTGACTGACAGTCAGTTTCTTCTATATACGCGCATTGCAGCGCAAGAGGCAACAGGACTTCCATCGAAAAATTGAAATAGTTGAAACTGAATTGCAGTTTGCAGTTAACTGTTGTACACCAAGCCTAAAACTTTCACTCAAAGCAACTCTGTTAGTTACTTACCTCGTTAATCAGCTCGTTTAGGCAGTATACAATGTGTTTTGCAGTACTTCACGGCAGAGAAATGAATACCGATGAGTTAAGCCGAGAGAACTGGGAAAGGTACCTACGTGTACCATCTAGCGACAGAGGAAAATACTACACGTTCAAAGTGCGCTCTGAGAGGGATACGTCGGATATGGCAGGTTGGAAGAAACGCCGGTTTATGACCAAAACTGAATAAGATAATGAATGTGTTAATAGTACCCACAGGTATGAAGTAACGCTGTCTTCTTAGCTACATCATCATCCTCATCATCATCATCATCAGTAATCTGTCAGACGACAGGTCCACAGTCTCTTCCAAAACAATTCCTCCACTTAATGCGATCTAGAGCTTTCTCCTTCAAATGACAGTATCCTCTTCTGTCCCCAAGGTCATCCAGCATCTTCTTACGTCTTCTTCCTTGTCTTCTTGTCACTTCTACCCGACCCTCTATCTTTCCTTCAATAACTTCTTTTAGAAGGCAGTTACTGCGTAAGATATGACCAATCCAATTAGCCTTCAGTTTTCTTATTTCGTGTAGGATATTCCTCTGCTCACTGACTCTAATTAACACTTCTTCATTTCTCACATAATCGGTCCAACTGATCTTCTCCATCCTTCTCAACACCACATTTCGAAACTTTCCAGATGTTTCTGATCTACTGCCTTAAGTGTCCTTAGCTACATACACCAAGATATAACATAAATAAATTTACTCGAAAAATCGTAAGGGATCTTAGAGAAAAAAATATATATAAGGATATTTCACATATTTTCGCGTATACTCTTGACGGATCGTAGCGTCATAAGGCTGTTAATTTGTTTCATCCCCTAGAAGGTAGATTTCAGTTGGGGGGGGGGCGGAATATGACCGATGCAGATTTACTTGAAAATCTCAGTACTGTGCGTTTGAGAATATTTATTAATATAGATTTTGTTTATTCCCTAGTGGGGTGGGACTAAGTACCTTGTACTGCGGACATTTCTGGCATATTGTACCAGCCCCAGATGATAGGTGAGGGTGATTGTGGAGCAATTGGTGGAATGAATATTGGCAGGGAAAACCAAAGTACTCGGAGAAAACCTGCCCCAGCGCCACTTTGTCTACCACAAATCCCATTTGACCAGATCCGGGATGGAACCCGGGCCGCTACGGTGGAAAGCCAGCGACTAACCACTTGAGCTATGGCGCGGCCCTGGTGGTCATTAATATTGTTACTTTGAGAACAAGAAGTGATAGAGACTCAGCCAGGGGCCCGTTTTTCGAACACCGTTACTTTCAGAATGCTTCGACCTCCTGTAAAAAATTACATGTGTCCCTTGCCTCTTTGTGGATGATTTCATTTTCTCATTCCTTTAAATCTTCATGCATTCTTCTGGGTGGGCATGTCCCACCCGCTAACAACCGGAGTCTTATATGCATCTTCCAAAACACAGTCTCTCACGTAGGAGTGCAGAACTTAGAGAAATAACGAGACTCAATGGAAACATCAGTTTAATAAGAGGCTCTGAATGGTTAATCCACCATTACAATCTATGACAAACTTTGTATATATGATCTGCATGACAAAGAGCTTTAGAATGGCCTTCCCTAATTGCGGTCAGCAGTATTGTTAGTATAACACCATTAAAGTATAGTACCTAATGGACAGGGGATACAGGAATTTAGCAGAGTAGAAATGGTTGCATGGTTAGATTAATGGCTGCTGAGGTCTAGTTTTGGCCCCCCTAAACGTAAACATGACGCAACAGCAACAATGAAAAACCGAAGTGAAAGTTATTATTGTTAAATGATGCATATTTCAGCAATGAAATACGAGTATATGCTGTAATGTTACAATAAGTGAAAAGTGATAGACTATGGCTCCTCGCTATAGGTCCTAGAAGCCTAATTCTAGACAGTACAGAAGAAGATGAAGATACAGCTTAAGGCTTCCTTAACCTCGTTAACAGATGCTGGCCTTCAAAATCAAATTTTTTTGGAAGGCACTTTATCGTTGCCTTGCTTATTACATAGCCCTTTATTTCATATTAATTTAATAATGCTTTCAATGGCTCACATTATAGTCAAACGAATGGATGATTCGTTACTAATTAAACGGTAAGGAGACGAAAGGAAGCGGTCGTGGCCGAACTTGAACTATT